GGTATATAATACTTTCTTAACACCCTGATGACATGTACCAAATATGGGTGAAATCGGTTCATAACCACGCCTGAAATCTCGGTTATAATTTTATCATGCGAGAGTATAAGATGYTCGGTGACACCCGAACTTAGCCCTTCTTTACTTGTTTTTGTAGTATTTAAACAGGATTGCTGACATGCAAAATCGAAATTTCAAAATCTATTGGCTTCAATTAAAAAGGCACTTCATTCCTTTGCTTTCATTGTATCCGACAGATTTTAAACCTTTCTAAATGTCTAATTGAGTGATTGTAAAAATTTCTGTGGTCTCTTGACAATAATTTTCATAACGTAGTGCTTTCAGTTCCTCAACTTAAAACTTTTTTCATCAGCCAAGACATTATTCGYCTTTCAAGCCAAAATCACCTCCTTTAAATCATACAAAATCATTTTTGTCCCGCAAAATCACAGTCGCTTTTCCTCACATATCCGGAATGTTGAAACAATGGAGTAATACTCTAGTTACGCCATCTCTTGGTAAACCTCGCATAGGGAGATAGCCAATATTGAGTTAAATTTGGGGAGAAAAATACGAGCATACTTCTGAGACTATAACATCTTATATAAATCATGGAAGTAACAAATTCTCCGCAATGATAATATAATGTGTTTTCTCCAACATTCGAACATTTCAAAGAAGAATCTTAGAATACGTCTAACTGCTTTTTCACTTTACTATAAGTCGCTGGTCGAACGTATTTAATTATCTACTCCAGTGAAGTACATGAACTTTAAGGTCATCGTAGTATAGTAGTTAGAGCGGCTATAGCTTCTCTGAATGTAGTTCTAAGTTTCTGACAAACATCAGAAATATAGACAAAATTTACATAGACAAATAACGGCTTTCTTTTAGCAAGCCTCTGTGAGCTTCTGAGCGCCCTATTTTATTAAAAAGGCAAAAATTCTACCAAACTTCTGGAACGATATTTATTAATTACTCATTTTCATAAGCCAGTTATGGAGAAAGGAAACAATGAATCCCTATTTAAAGGAGTAAAATAATTTCAGCAAAATGCTTCATTTTCTATTCTCTTTATGGGCTATAAACATTTGATTTAATTTATTTAAATCATCACTCTATTGAAAGTCGACTTTTCTCTTCGGTTATGTTTTAAGCGAGAACAAATTTAGAAAAACAAAAAAAAAAAACATGACACAATCCACTTTTTATGAACACAACTATAATTTACGAGGCAAGAGGAGCGGCTGAGCTAGCAACAGAAGAGCTACTGTCATCGGCATCAKAACTTTTTGGGGGAGCAGTAATGGTGGTAGCTGCAGTAGTAGAACCTGGTAAGCCACTGGCGAAGCACGCGTACAACTTCTTATAAGTTTCGGCTGTATGTGTGATGTAGGTGCGCTGAGCGGCGCTGGTACAGGAAGTCTCCGTATCACTAATCATTTGCAATCCACTTTTCAGTGAAAGCGCAGCAGTCGAGGCGCTATCCGAGAGCGCATAGATGTCTAAAATATCGGCGGAGGACTAGTTGAAGATAGGAATAGTTAGATTACAGAACTGATTTTACTTCCAACAACACAAACACACTTACTGCGGTGACGTAACAGTTGAAGAAATCCAAGTTKTCGGTGTCACTGTTGCATGTGGTGAAAGCACTGCATATGCTGGCGGTCTGATTCACAAAAGCAATGCGGTTCTGGGCAGCAGTGGCGGTGAGATTGGCTGACGCTTGCGTGGCCACGGTGACACATTGCTCATACTGCGTCGAGAAATTCGCGGAGATTTTGCTTATGATTGGCATATAGTAATTGAAACACTCAGTGGTGACTGCGGGATCAGCGGCGCCGCCCAATTCATTAGCCTCGGCCAACATGCGGAGTATGCYGTGGTCAGCATCTCGTGCATCGACTCCAAAAGGTATAGCCTGGCAAGTCAGGAGAATTGTAAAATATTAAAACAAAAATTATTGACAAAATAATTGTATTATTCACTTACCGCCGCAGCGCCAATTAGGGTCAAGCAAAAGCAAGTTAGAGCGACAGTTTGCATGTTGATAGGGCGTTAGCTCGTACTTTTCGAATATTTTAACGCTAATGAGCTGCCCGCATTTTAAAGTCGTCTTTTATAGTAGAAATCTGGGCGGTTGCAGTAATTGTCCTATTTTGCAAATTACAAATTTTCGTGATTGATTGGGTAGTTTGTGGGTCATTATCGATTGTTTTTGGAAAGCAATTGTGTTCAAGGCAACACATATTTTTAGGTATTACTCACATGCTACGATAGGCCAAGGGGTGGAAAAGAATATGTAAAAGTCTGAAAATCTCACGTGATATTTAAGAATGAGATTTTAAATATTTTCAGACGTGCCCTGATGGAATGTCAATGCTTAGAATTATACATGAARGCTATAACATTCCACAGTTRTTAAAGTCAATTTGCGGAAAAGACTTCACTCCGAACTAAATCAGGCGAATACGGAGATTGTGGCAACAATATTGGTTGAAGTTTCRATSAAAAACTCACGAAGAATCAATGCAACACATCGTCATATGACGATATTGCATTACGATGCAAAAACCAAGAGTTGTCGGAAATTTTTTATGAATCGCTTCGCGAAAACGACGCATAACATTCAATAGTATTCCTTGTTGACAGTTTGGGCGGTCGGAAGGAATTCGGAGTGTGCCACACCTCGATAATTGAAGAAAACTGTSAACATAASTKCGATATTTGAGATGCTTTGATGTGGTKTTTYCGGATTCATCTMACCTTTRCCAAGATATCCGGCCAAGTKATCATCATTTTTAGGGTCGTAAGCATAAATCCAAGACTCTTCGCCAGCACTAATACGTTTCATGACATCCTGGTAGTCGGAAAGCATTGTTTCACAGGGGTTTTCATCACCGATTGATGCTTATTGCCATTCAGRATGTGATTCGTCGTTWACGCRTTCTCAAYCAATCAAAAACACTTGCTCGCGACAAAAATGTATCACCGAAGACCTTTTCCAACATTCAGAACATTTTTGCGCCAGAAATTTGATCCCGCACAAAAGTTTATTGGAACTTCTTTGTTGTATGAAAGTCACCCCAACCTTGAACAAAAATATTTCGACGAATGGAAATTTTAATTAGAATATCTTACTATTTTTTGCCCACAGTAGTATTTCGTCTCCATGAAGATTATTTATAATATATTATCTGTTTCAAATCAAACCTATCTGGGCTATAAAAACTATGTAAGCAAATCAAACTGGCAAAATAAATTTGTTTAGATTGGTACAAGACCTTTACTATATGTTCGAATGAAATTTGTTCTCGATATGCCGATTATTGCGTGTCTGACAACTGTTTATTTACAACCGAAAGATTTTATAGAAATTTTTAGGGCGGAAAATAAAATAAACAAAGAGTTTGCGAAATCACTKAAAATCTTACAAAAGCCTTTTGGTGCGTCTAGTCTACTTTCTTACGAACAAGTATTTGAGTGGCGCAAAGAATTCAGTGAATGGTCATCAGGTCATCAAGTCTTGGAAACTTGCCTCATGTTGTCCACTCACCTCTGTTAATGACGATAATATCGAAAAAGTTAAGGAATAGTGCTTGAAACTCACCCTTTTAACATCAAAGAGACAGCAAACGGTTTCAGCAGCTCTTATGCATCGACTCAAAATATTTCTCTGATCCTCAACATTCAAACCTCAAAATTATTGTTTAAAAGCCAATAATATACAGAGAGTACTATTTCTGTACCATTTTCGCAGCAGCTTTGGCTTTCTGCTGATGTAAACTTAATTTTGGTAAAATTTAAATTGATACTTTAGTATAGCAATTCTTTTCACACTGCTCCTACTACAGAACATTTATACATACATTTTTTACTCATGATGATCAAAACGAGTGATTGGAATTTCAATAAGCTGTCTCTTATACACATCTAGATGTGTATAAGAGACAGGTCCAGCGCTGCGCCCTCGCAGCAGCGGCAGCCGCAGCGGTCCAGCG